GGTGAATACAATGCTTTTCTATGGGACAGCTCACTGTGCCTGTGTATTAGGTCCTTAGTGTTCCTCTATGAAATGCGTTGGATTGGAACAAGCCGGAGGAGGCCATGTCACCCCAATGACATGGCGGGAAGAGGAGAGGTGAGCAACCCCAAGACCCAGGAGCCTCGGTGAGGGCGGGGGACTGCGATAGACACGGACACTATAGCGGTAGGAATAAAGGTTTGTATCCCAATAGTGTTTCTTTACAATCCATCTTCGTAATGGTTTAAAAGGATAAACCAGACTTACCTTCCATCATCCGGAACTGGAAATGTTTCCGATCCTCTAGAATTACTTTGATTTGTCAGTTTTAAAACCTGATGGAATTTATGAAGAAACATTCAGAGTTTATTTTTTAAAGCAAAACAAGCTCATCGGGGGCAAAGAGCTTAAATGATGAGAATGCGTTTATTGCTTTCCATGGAAACCGACGCTTTTTGCCCCAGAAAATCAGCTGTTTGGACCTTCATGAATGTGGCACATCTCGCGGTGACTGGTATTTGCAGAGTTCTAAGCTCCAGATCTATAAAGAAATATGAAACTTGCTCTCTATAGAATCTCAGTGAGTGAGTGAAACCCATAGCATGCACACTCAGGGCGTTGTAGACTACACTCAGATCAGCTAACTCTGCCCCCTGCTGTTACATTGAGATAATGCAGGTTTGTCAGGCTGAGAAGCTGCATGCTTCCTCGATCTCAGGAGGAACAAACAAAATTACCAGAAAAAACCCGTAAATGTCAGTAACTGTCGACCAAGCAGCATTAACACAAAAAGGAACTAAGTCTCAATATTAGATTCCCCTGTCAGAAAACAAGGGGTTAATTTGCATGTATACTTCTTGTGTAATTACACCCCCACTTCCTCTCGCTGTTAGATCCTTACATCAATGTCACCTAACCTTTCCTTTTATTACACACAGAGCCACAAAGTGACACACACTATACAATACAGAGACACACACTATACAATACAGAGACACACACTATACAATACACACACACAGTATACACTACAGAGACACACACTATACAATACACACACACAGTATACACTACAGAGACACACACTATACAATACAGACACAGACTATACAATACAGAGACACACACTATACAATGCTCAGTGTTACACACAGACACACACTATACAATACAGACACAAACTATACAATACAGAGACACACACTATACAATGCTCAGTGTTACACACACACACTATACAATACACACACACAGTATACAATACAGAGACACACTACAATACAGAGACACACTACAATACAGAGACACACACTATACAATACAGAGACACACACTATACAATGATAGTGTTACACACAGACACACACTATACAATACAGAGACACACACTATACAATGATAGTGTTACACACAGACACACTATACAATACAGAGACACACACTATACAATACAGAGACACACTATACAATACAGAGACACACACACTGCAATACAGAGACACACACTATACAATGCTCAGTGTTACACACACACACTATACAATACAGACACACACTATACACTACAGAGACACACACTATACAATACAGACACAAACTATACAATACAGAGACACACACTATACAATACAGAGACACACACACTATACAATGCTCAGTGTTACACACACACACTATACAATACACACACTATACACTACAGAGACACACACTATACAATACAGACACAAACTATACAATACAGACACAAACTATACAATACAGAGACACACACTATACAATGCTCAGTGTTACACACAGACACACACTATACAATACAGACACAAACACACACTATACAATACAGAGACACACACTATACAATACAGAGACACACACTATACAATACAGAGACACACACTATACAATACACACACACAGTATACACTACAGAGACACACACTATACAATACAGAGACACACACTATACAATACAGACACAGACTATACAATACAGAGACACACACTATACAATGCTCAGTGTTACACACAGACACACACTATACAATACAGACACAAACTATACAACACAGAGACACACACTATACAATGCTCAGTGTTACACACACACACTATACAATACACACACACAGTATACAATACAGAGACACACTACAATACAGAGACACACTATACAATAAAGAGACACACACTATACAATGATAGTGTTACACACAGACACACACTATACAATACAGAGACACACACTATACATTGATAGTGTTACACACAGACACACTATACAATACAGAGACACACACTATACAATACAGAGACACACTATACAATGCTTAGTGTTACACACATAAACACACTATACAATGCTCAGTGTTACACACAGACACACACTATACAGTGTTCAGTGTTACACACAAACACACTATACAATGCCCAGTGTTACACACAGACACACACTATATCATACAGAGACACACATTATACAAGGCTCAGTGTTACACACAAACACACTATACAATGATAGTGTTACACACGGACACACACTATACAAGGCTCAGTGTTACACACAGACACACTATACAATGCCCAGTGTTACACACAGACACAAACTATATCATACAGAGACACACATTATACAAGGCTTAGTGTTACACACAGACACACACTATACAGTGTTCAATGTTACACACAAACACACTATACAGTGTTCAATGTTACACACAAACACACTATACAATGATAGTGTTACACACAGACACAAACTATATAATACAGAGACACACATTATACAAGGCTTAGTGTTACACACATACACACACTTGTGCATAGGAAGCGGGTAATTGTGTCTGGGCATAAGCCTTCAACATTGATAAACCTCCCAATCACTTATTTCCCGAAATGAATCACCAGACTTGCTTTTGGAGTAAATTGGCCACAACTTTATTAAATATAAATATTAAAACTTCAATTTTATCATAAAACACTATATACATAATTACTCAGCAAATCGATACATCGATGAGTACCATCTTGCCAACCAAACATAACTTAGGGCAGCTGCCCCTACCCCTCGTTCCAACCAGCACAAGGCCTTTTCTTGGGCCTTCCATTGTGTAATGCTAACCACTAGCCGGTTAGTTGGCTCAGTGGGCATGTCCATAACTATCCATAACTGTACCTGAGGTTAGCGGAGGGACAGCCCTACCCACACAGACACACACACTATACAATGCTTAGTGTTATACACACTATACAATACAGAGACACACTATACAATGCTTAGTGTTATACACACTATACAATACAGAGACACACTATAAAATGCTTAGTGTTATACACACTATACAATACCGAGACACACTATACAATGCTTAGTGTTACACACAGACACACACACTATACAATGCTTAGTATTACACACAGACACACACTCTACAATGCTTATGTTACACACAGAGACACACTATACAGTGCTTAGTGTTACACACAGACACACACTATACAATGCTTAGTGTTACACACAGACACACACTCTGCAATGCTTAGTGTTACACACAGAGACACACTATACAGTGCTTAGTGTTACACACAGACACACACTATACAGTGCTTAGTGTTACACACAGACACACACTATACAATGCTTAGTGTTACACACAGACACACACTCTGCAATGCTTAGTGTTACACACAGAGACACACTATACAGTGCTTAGTGTTACACACAGACACACACTATACAATGCTTAGTGTTACACACAGACACACACTCTGCAATGCTTAGTGTTACACACAGAGACACACTATACAGTGCTTAGTGTTACACACAAACACACACTATACAATCCTTAGTGTTACACACAGACACACACACTCTGCAATGCTTAGTGTTACACACAGACACACACACTATACAATGCTTAGTGTTACACACAGGCACACTCACTATACAATGCTTAGTGTAACACACAGACACGCACACTATACAATGCTTAGTGTAACACACAGACACGCACACTATACAATGCTTACTGTTACACAGACACACACACTGTACAATGCTTAGTGTTACACAGACACACACACTATACAATGCTTAGTGTTACACAGACATGCACACTATAGAATGCTTAGTGTTACACAAACACACTATACAATGCTTGGTGTTACACACAGACACACACACTATACAATACAGAGACACACTATACAATGCTTAGTGTTACACACAGAGACACACTATACAGTGCTTAGTGTTACACACAGACACACACTATACAATGCTTAGTGTTACACACAGAGACACACTATACAGTGCTTAGTGTTACACACAGACACACACTATACAATGCTTAGTGTTACACACAGACACACACTCTGCAATGCTTAGTGTTACACACAGAGACACACTATACAGTGCTTAGTGTTACACACAGACACACACTATACAATCCTTAGTGTTACACACAGACACACACACTCTGCAATGCTTAGTGTTACACACAGACACACACACTATACAATGCTTAGTGTTACACACAGGCACACTCACTATACAATGCTTAGTGTAACACACAGACACGCACACTATACAATGCTTAGTGTAACACACAGACACGCACACTATACAATGCTTACTGTTACACAGACACACACACTGTACAATGCTTAGTGTTACACAGACACACACACTATACAATGCTTAGTGTTACACAGACACACACACACTATACAATGCTTAGTGTTACACACAGACACACACACACTATACAATGCTTAGTGTTACATACAGACACATACACTATACAATGCTTAGTGTTACATACAGACACACACACTATACAATGCTTAGTGTTACACACAGACACACTATACAATGCTTAGTGTTACACAGACACACACTATACAATGCTTAGTGTTACACACAGACATGCACGCTATACAATGCTTAGTGTTACACACAGACATGCACACTATACAATGCTTAGTGTTACACAGACACACACACTATACAATGCTTAGTGTTACACGCAGACACACACACTATACAATGCTTAGTGTTACACTCAGAGACACACTATACAGTGCTTAGTGTTACACACAGACACACACTATACAATGCTTAGTGTTACACACAGACACACACACTCTGCAATGCTTAGTGTTACACAGACACACACACTATACAATGCTTAGTGTTACACACAGACACACACACTATACAATGCTTAATGTTACACAGACACACACACTATACAATGCTTAGTGTTACACACAGACACACTCACTATACAATGCTTAGTGTTACACAGGCACACACACTATACAATGCTTAGTGTTACACACAGACACAAACACTATACAATGCTTAGTGTTACACACAGACACATACACAATACAATGCTTAGTGTTACATACAGACACATACACTATACAATGCTTAGTGTTACATACAGACACACTATACAATGCTTAGTGTTACACAGACACACACTATACAATGCTTAGTGTTACACACAGACACACACTATACAATGCTTAGTGTTACACACAGGCACACTCACTATACAATGCTTAGTGTAACACACAGACACGCACACTATACAATGCTTAGTGTAACACACAGACACGCACACTATACAATGCTTACTGTTACACAGACACACACACTGTACAATGCTTAGTGTCACACACAGACACACACACTATACAATGCTTAGTGTTACACAGACACACACACTATACAATGCTTAGTGTTACACACAGACACACTCACTATACAATGCTTAGTGTTACACAGACACACACACTATACAATGCTTAGTGTTACACACAGACACAAACACTATACAATGCTTAGTGTTACATACAGACACATACACTATACAATGCTTAGTGTTACATACAGACACACTATACAATGCTTAGTGTTACACAGACACACACTATACAATGCTTAGTGTTACACACAGACACACACTATACAATGCTTAGTGTTACACAGACACACACTATACAATGCTTAGTGTTACACACAGACATGTACACTATACAATGCTTAGTGTTACACAGACACACACACTATACAATGCTCAGTGTTACACACAGACACTATACAATGATTAGTGTTACACACAGACACACACTATACAATGCTTAGTGTTACACACAGACATACACACTATACAATGCTTAGTGTAGCACACAGACATGCACACTATACAATGCTTAGTGTTACACAGACACACACACTATACAGTGCTTAGTTTTACACACAGACTCACACACTATACAATGCTTAGTGTTACACACAGACACACACTATACAATGCTTAGTGTTACACACAGACACACACACTCTGCAATGCTTAGTGTTACACAGACACACTATACAATGCTTAGTGTTGCACACAGGCACATACACTATACAATGCTTAGTGTTACATACAGACACACACACTATACAATGCTTAGTGTTACACACAGACACTATACAATGCTTAGTGTTACACAGACACACACTATACAATGCTTAGTGTTACACACAGACATGCACACTATACAATGCTTAGTGTTAGACAGACACACACACTATACAATGCTCAGTGTTACACACAGACACTATACAATGCTTAGTGTTACACACAGACACACACTATACAATGCTTAGTGTTACACACAGACGCACACTATACAATGCTTAGTGTTACACACAGAGACACACTATACAGTGCTTAGTTTTACACACAGACACACTCACTATATAATGCTTAGTGTTACACACAGACACACACTATACAATGCTTAGTGTTACACACAGACACACACACTCTGCAATGCTTAGTGTTACACAGACACACACACTATACAATGCTTAGTGTTACACACAGACACACACACTCTGAAATGCTTAGTGTTACACAGACACACACACTATACAATGCTCAGTGTTACACACAGACACTATACAATGCTTAGTGTTACACACAGACACACACTATACAATGCTTAGTGTTACACGCAGACACATGCTATACAATGCTTAGTGTTACACAGACACACACACTATACCATGCTCAGTGTTACACACAGACACTATACAATGCTTAGTGTTACCCACAGACACACACTATACAATGCTTAGTGTTACACACAGACACACACTATATACAATGCTTAGTGTTACACACGGACACATACACTATACAATGCTTAGTGTTACACACAGACACATGCTATACAATGCTTAGTGTTACACACAGACACACTATGCAATGCTTAGTGTTACACAGACACACACACTATACAATGCTTAGTGTTACACACAGACACGCACACTATACAATGCTTAGTGTTACACAGACACACACTATACAATGCTTAGTGTTACACGCAGACACATGCTATACAATGCTTAGTGTTACACAGACACACACACTATACAATGCTTAGTGTTACACACAGACATACATTATACAATGCTTAGTGTTACACACAGACATACACACTATACAATGCTTAGTGTTACACAAAGATACATGCTATACAATGCTTAGTGTTACACACAGACAGACTGTTTACACTCCATCGTACACATAGTAACAGAGCTCTCTAAATAAAATGATTTCATTCTTTTGTGGGGGCCAGTGGCTCTGGTAACGGCTGCTAGCTGGGGCCCGGGCTGACAATTTCAGCTTTTCCCGCCTTTCAGTAATCTTCTCCCTGGTATCTGCTCCTGGGGTCACATGCAAATCGACCCAAAGCTCTGGAGAGCCCATGATGTCAATGTGCTCTGCTACTGGGTCTTAACTCACAGAGAACTCTATTGTGCGTTGTCCTGCTGTGTATCGGCCGTATTACTCCACTGACAGATCTCTCATTGATGGAGAACATGGCACAGGGTATTGCTGGCCCCACCAGTGCCAAACAGAGTCAAATTATAACAGTACCAACCTAGGACTCCACTGCCTGCACTCATACTCTGAATTAAACATGGAGCTGCCAGGAGAAGTCTCAGGGGCCAATACAGGACACTACATATTGCTATTAGCAGTCAGTTTGGTTTCTCTACACCTAATAAGGTTCTGGAGCCAAATTGTCCTGTATCACATCCAGTAACAGCTAAGGTCCTTAGTTTGCAAGCTGTACGCCCTACCTTTACCTGTATGCCAGCTTCCACCAGGGAGGCCTGGCAACTGGGTGTGAGGGGGTGGTGGTGGAGCAGAGTCCAGTTTGCAATTGGTTCAGTCCATGGCACCATGATTGTAGGAACGATGGGAGTGGTTCAAATGGAGGGGTATGTCTTTGGGGAAAGTGCCCTCAACCTAATATTTTTCATTGTTTCAGAAAGATAAGTATAACAGAATATATGTTAAAAGAGTTGGTTATCCCATTTTCCTATTAGTCTTCTGTGGCGGATTGCCGCTGTATCACAGCCAGAGATTACCTTTCCCGTAGGGTTATAGATCCTTCCAGTATAAACAGTGTTATACCTGGTATAGCTTCCCCCCATATATTAGCCGAGACCTAAGTTGGGAGTAGATCTGAGTTTATTTATACTTATACTTATTTATATATTTAAAACTAATTATCTCCCGGCTACAGAGGGCACAACACAAAAACACCCCAAAAACATATTAAAACCAAGAGGAACCCCAACACATATATTCCCGGATAGCTCTACATACCCATGTTGGCAAAATAGCGCTCTGATCCATGAAGAGACGACAAATCATCACCGGGGTATAGTTTTAACCAGCCACTAACAATGTTCATGCCTGTGGCGAAACCAACCTCGCTACTGTACACTGGAGAAGCCTGGTTGCTCGCCTTCTCCCTTTAGACTATGGTCCTGCATTTTAAACTTTTATTTTACCGGCAGAAAGGTTTATTCGTGCCTTTCTGTGGACTGTTAAAGCCATGCTACCCCAGATAGCTATGCCATGGAGCCCAGCCGTATACTGAAAGACTGTATGAAAGACTTTGGCTCCATGGCGATTGAACTGTATGTATGTGATCTGAGCGCCATTCGGTAGTAATGTGCACTCAGATCTAAGCTATCTGGGGATATGTAGAATGTATATGTTTTATGGAATAAATGTAACTGTATGTAATTTTATGTCTTTTATTGTATTGTTACTGCCATGTGGTTAATGGAGTCTTGCCTCTGTCCTGGGAGATAATTGGATTACTTCACAATTATCTCCTGGACAGAGAGGAGGGATTGTGATGTAAATGTGGGTGTGTTTTATGGTTCTCCTGTAAACGATTGGTTGTACTGTGTCCCACCCTGTGGGATGTCCCCTTGCATGGGGACTTGCATAAAAGCCAGTGTGTGGCCATTACAGAGAGTTCCTGCTTAACCCTCAAAGTGAAGTGTCGTCTCATTATTGGGGGAGGATTTACTGTATGCTGTTAGAGACTGATTGCCAGGAGTGTAAGCCGCTTGGGGGCTTTTCCTGTTCGTCTGCTAGCAGCTATTCGTGTGTATGCAGTTCGGGAGATTGGTGCTTGCAGTAGCTGTCTGTGCAGCTGAAAAAGGGGAATATTGCCTAAACGGTTTTTAACCTCTTTTGGGCAAAACGGTCCGTTACAATGCCCAAAAGAGTTCCATGATGAATGGGACTTTGGCCGGTCAGCTGTTGGGAGCTTTTGCTGGCGAAATAGGGGGCACTCCCCCTTGCTCTCAGGGAGCGATTGTTCTATACAGTGTAGTGGACCTTCCCTGCAAAAAGAGCTCTCTTAGCTGGTTGGGAAGTGGTGGAAATCAGAGGTGAAATTGGCTAGGAGATGGGAACAGTTGGAGAGATGGGAGCGAGGCCGGAACAGAGTTCCAGAGGAGTCATGCATAGGTCCCGCTATAGTCATTGTGGCTTTCTGGACCCCTGGTGCGGCCAGGGGAGGGGGCACTACTCACTGGTTGGCCTGGAGGTGAAGGTGATGGGAGCCAGAGCCAGTGACAATAGTCTCTTGGGAAAAACATTGGCGAAAACAACATGAATGTGGATGGTGACTAGGGGATCTGTCACAACTCCCTAGTGATAATATAGAATTTACCTCTAGAAAACCGCTTGACTTAATGAATTCCTTGTCGTGAGTGTCGGGTGAGCTGTCTCTGTAATTAGGATGTCGGGATGTCCTTGTGTCATGTACACATATCCCTGTGCTCTATGTGCTATGTATACAAAGTGGGATGTTCCCATTGCTGTATATTTTTGCATACATGCCCCGTGCGTCCTTTATACATCACTGACTTTTTGTAGTGTGACCAAGTAATCTGTCTTTCAAACACTTTTTATTAATCTTTCTTATCTTTTTTTTGCTTTAGATAACTATTACTAAGAAAAAAAAGCACATTTACAATTTCATGGATTTTTTTCTACATTAAACAAAAAGAAGATGAAAGTTTCTTACCTGTCAAGGAAAACCCGCTCATCTGACAGTGGCGTAAAAATGTGTCCTAAAGAAAAACACATTTGCCCCTCTTTAACATACATTAACATCGACACATTTGTAAAAGAAAAAAAAGGAACAAGAAAATAAAATGATGAAAAATGTGCAATATCAATGTTCTCGATTAAGAAAGCAAATAAATAGGAAAAGAGTCAGAAAAACTACATAAAAAGGAAGCAATCATAAAGATAACCTCCAATGTGTTTTATTCTCTTTGTATGTATGTGCGTCTGTGTGTTTTGTTCCCCACCTGTCTGTGTGTCTTGTTCCCCACATATTCCCTGCTGTCTGTGTGTTGTTCCCCATATGTCTGTGTCTTGTTCCCCACCTGTCTGTGTGTCTTGCTCCCCACGTATTCCCTTCTCTGTCTGTGTGTCTTGTTCCCCATCTGTCTGTGTGTCTGTGTGTCTTGCTCCCCACTTATTCCCTTCTCTGTCTGTGTGTCTTGTTCCCCACCTGTCTGTGTGTCTTGCTCCCCACATATCCCCTGCTCGGTCTGTGTGTCTTGTTCCCCACCTGTCTGTGTGTCTTGCTTCCCACATATTCCTTGCTCTGTCTGTGTGTCCTGTTCCCCACCTGTTTGTGTGTCTTTGTGTCTTGTTCCCCACCTGTCTTTGTGTCTGTGTGTCTTGCTCCCCACATATGCACTGCTCTGTCTGTGTGTCCTGTTCCCCACCTGTTTGTGTGTCTTTGTGTCTTGTTCCCCACCTGTCTTTGTGTCTGTGTGTCTTGCTCCCCACATATTCCCTGTTCTGTCTGTGAATCATGTTTTGTTGTGTATTTGTCCCCATTTCTTGGCTGATTAGCTTATTATGTTTTGGTTGCCGCCACCCAGGTACTGATTTTACAGAGTGTCGGGAAGCTGCCCTCTGTCCTGTGCCCATCTATGAATCCTGTTTCCCACATAATGCTTCTTCTTCAAGGCAGCCTCGTGCTGCACGCCCACGAACATACGCCAAGAGAGTCAGAGGGCACGGGAGGAGTGGGGCAGCATTGAGAATCACCCACTGGCATGTAGGGAGAACATCCCACAATTAACTCTTGTTTGGGAAAGGAGAAATCAGCTACCGAGGAAAGATAAAAACAATCAGATGCATTATTTTCCATTATTGGTTCTTTACACTATAACCATGACGGAAACAGCCGCTCTGCTAGCAATCCATGTGTATTCAAAAGGTCAAGATTCATCAGACACATATAAGCCATTGTGAAAGGAAATAGCAAGGAGGCTGAGGCCAGCAAGCCGGGAATGGGAGCCTATCTCACATGCAATAACCCATTCAGTGCCACCCAGAGCCCCCAGTAATAACCAGAGCCCTCACTACCACCCAGAGCCCCCAGTAATAACCAGAGCCCTCACTACCACCCAGAGCCCCCAGTAATAACCAGAGCCCTCACTACCACCCAGAGCCCCCAGTAATAACCAGAGCCCTCACTACCACCCAGAGCCCCCAGTAATAACCAGGGCCCCCACTGCCAAATTCCCAGGAGCCCCCAAATTCCCAGAGCCCCCACTACCACCCAGAGCCCCCAGTATTCCAGAGCCCCCACTGCCACCCAGAAAGCCCCTTCTCAGTAATAACCAGAGAGCCCCCACCACCCAGAGCCCCCAGTAATAACCAGAGCCCCCACTACCACCCAGAGCCCCCCAGCACAACCAGAGCCCCA